ACACCTTCTGGTGCTTCCCAGGCTGGGTCCATGATGGGACACTGGCGAGCCGGGACACAAAAGCGTGAATTCGGATGTGCACAGGGTTCTGTGTCACCTGGCAGAGAATGCAAATGCCATCGTTTCCAAGGTCGTGTCCATTGTCAGCATGGACATACATGAGCACACACAGTGATACTTTTTTTTTTTCCTCTTAGTTTTTCTTCCTTTCATGATGCAGAGGCTTAACCCGGGGTCCTAGGCAAGTCCTCTACCACTGAGGTCCATCTCCAGCCCTTGCAAGGTTTCCTTTGGTTTCCTCAGCTACTTACAACCTTGTGTGGTATGGAAGAAGGAATCCAGGACATCTTCCCACAAAGATCAGGCTATTTATCAATCAATAATGGCGCTATGGATAATAGACAACCGTGAGAGAGGAACTGGGATCTCACGGGGCACTTTGGGTCCTTGGCATTGACCAAGACTTAAGGGAGCAGAATTAGATATTGGCATGTAGTTACAATAATTTTCTTCCCAGAAACTTTATTTACAGGATTATTATTTCCCAAACTAATTTTCCTGAGCCTAAAGCAAAACCAAGAATGTCAGGTCAATGTTTCAAGCAACTGACTTTTCATTAACAAACCAGGGAAGACAATCTCCTGAGCTATCAAAATGTAAACAGGAATTGCTTTTATTACACATTCAGTTTGTTTTATCATGATAGGAGTAGGTGTTGCCATGGCATGCATGTGGAAGTCAGAGGACCACTTGTCTTCTTCCTCCACGAGGCTCCTAGGGAGCTAACGCAGGTCATCAGACCTTGGTGCTAAGCACTTCAACATGCCGAGCCATCCTGCTAGCCCAGTGATGGATTTTAAAGCTAGCGTTACTTTAGTTATTTCTGTGGGCCTGCCCAGACCCCGACAGAGTGGTAGGCTGGGGCATGAACTCAGTGAGGGACATAACCTGAGGAGCCCAGAGCACCTGACACCTTCAAGTGTATTGGAGAGAAGCTAGGAACCAAGTCAGTGGCACATGGGTGAGCACCACTGGGGGACCATACAGGCACAGTGCTTTCTCCATTGGGAGATGATGGCCAGGCTGGAAGTAGGGGTGAGGGAGCCATGGGTCAACAAGTCTGTCCCTGCCACCTCCCAGCCTGGGACCCTAGTTAAGGGTGTTTATGGTTCTGGGAACTAAAGACGGGCATGTGACTCTCTAGTTTTATCAGTGAATTCAGAGTTGATGAAAGGGTTGGGAAACTGGCCTGTAGGGAAGATTATTGTTTTTTGGATTTCTCAGTTGGGCAGGGAGACTGAGGGGGCCTTAATGATGGTGTTAGAGAAAAAAAGGCTGGTCTTGTTTGGAGGTTGACTGCTAGGCTGTCTGGAAGGCTCACATTCGGCCTTCAGTGACCACAAGCCCTTCCTCTGCTGTGCTCTCTCTCCCTGTAACTGCAGAAGGCAGTAAAAGTGATTGTTGGGAGTGCAAGGCGTGGGGAGGGATGGGTCTCTGAGGCATCGCGGTAATGACAGGGTCAGGAAATCAGCCTCCAAGAAAGTGTAAAGTGTTAGCCTGAGTTCATGTAGAAGGATTATAGCGAGGGATGGAAGGGTAGGGTAACTTCGGACACTGGTATAAGCAGGGGAACGCAGGAGCCAAGTGGCAAAGGAGACAGGCTTCCGTCTTTCCAAATAGGTCAAATGTTACCGGCCCAATTCCCTCTGTAACAGTTTTCCAAATAGTTCTTCCCCCACAACCCCAGCTTATGTTTACTATTGACAAGTGCTATGTATCTGATAGTATGTTAAACTCCTTTTATGTATTACTTAATCCTCCCATAATCTTAACAGGTGAGTACTATGATAAACCCCATTGAGTTGGTGGGAAAAACTGTTGAAAACTTGAGTAATTATCCAGATCTCCAAACAATGATTAATGGATCAGAGACGCAAACTGAGATCTTGCCTGGTGTTGGAAACTACAAAAGGCTACGGTCGTAGAGGGTTTTCATCATTAAAGTTGCTATGGCTGGAGACTGGCTGCTTTTGCAAAGGACACAGGTTCGATTCCCAGCACCTACATGGTGGCTCACAACCTTCTGTAATTCCAGTTCCAGGGGATCTGCTGCCCTGTTCACTGCATGCATATGATGTACAGGCACTTGTAGGCAAAATGCACACCCACATTAAAAAAAAAAAAGTGCCGAGCCCTGGGGCCTCTGTCACAATTTCCTCACCCCACATACCAGGTTTCCAGGGCTTTCCCAGCCAGGAGGTTACGGTGACACCAGGTGGAAGAGGCTGGTCAATGCCTTCCCAGTACACACCGCCATCACTGGTCTCGGCCACATTGGTGAAAAGAGTGTTACTCTGGATTGTGGCCATTGCATTGGGATTGGTGGTAGCAGAGGTGCCCGGGGCCACCCCAAAGAAGCCGTTCTCAGGGTTGATGGCCCGGAGCTGACCTGCCAAAAGTGGAAGAAAGGAAAGGCCCTTAGGAAAAGCCGAGATGTGAGGCTGAAGGAGGTCCTTCGCTATCTCCTTTTTTGGGACCGTAGCTCTGATATAGAGAGGCTTTGTTTCTGGGGTTGCTGGACTCACTGAGGTATGGGGACCATGCTGGCTGCTAGGAAAAGGGCCCTCACCTTCACTGTCAAACCTCATCCAGGCGATGTCGTCCCCCACACACTCTACTCTCCAGCCTGGCAAGGCTGGCTGCATCATAGCCAGATTGGTTTTGCCACAGGCACTGGGAAAAGCAGCTGCCACATAGCGCTTTTTCCCTGCAGGGTTGGTGATCCCCAAAATCTGTGTCGGAGGCAAAGAGAACAGAATGAAGTCACCAAAAGTCAGGGTGTAGTCTGCATGGATAAGGGCAGCTAGCAGGGAGTGGGGTAGGGAGCGGGGAATGGACACTAATGTTTATTCCCTAAGCAGGTGTCCCCCCCTTCTCTAGGGCCAGGGTAGCAATGTTCAGCAGCCTGGAGCTAACACTTCAGGCTTTCAGGCTCACCGTCCTGGCACCTGGCAGGAAGGAGCAAGGCCGAGGCAGACTGCCAAGGCTTCCCCAACCACCCCCCTGTCCACAGCTGCTCAGTTCCTCACCAGGCCCTCACCAGCATGTGCTCTGCCAGCCAGCCCTCATCCCTGGCCAGGCGAGAGGCGATGCGCAGGGCAAAGCACTTCTTGCCCAGCAAGGAGTTACCACCATAGCCGCTGCCGAAGGAGACGATCTCCCGCTGGTCTGGCACGTGGCCAATCAGGGTTTTTTCCGGATTGCATGGCCACTGGCTCACAGGATCCCCTGGAGACAATGGAGTCAGAGTGCTGCTGGTAGTGGCATCAGAAACCAGGGTGTCGGGGACTGGAGGGATTAAGGACTGACCCAAAAGACACTTGGAAGCACTGGCAGTGTCCAGGGGTAGCTAAGCCCCCTTTTCCAGGACCCATCAACTCTTGTGCCTCTATCAGACATGGAGACTGACTTCTGAATCCTGTGTAAACTGTTCTCCAAACAGTGTTACTCCAGTCCAGAATGCTTCCCTGGGCCTTGGGGAGTAATCATTCACATCCACAATTTCTCTGTGGATGGGTAAGATTTGGGGCTCCCTCTGAGGGCAAGAAGGTCTCGGTGTCCTACTCTCGATAGCATAGGTACTCACCATGCCCAGTCAGGGGCTGGCCCACTGAATGCAGACACCTGATGAAGTCACCATCTCCCAGGGCCTGAAGGACAGGTGTTCCCAGGCGGGTCATAATACGCATGCTTGCCACCACATAAGCTGAGTCAGTGAGCTGCACTCCAATGCGGGACAGCGGGGAGCCCACAGGACCCATGCTGAACGGAAGCACATACATGGTACGGCCTACGGAGGAAGGTGCCACCTGGATGAAGGATTCCAAACCCAGCCATAGCTCCAGTGCCCCGCTTCTGTGTCCCTGACTTGTTACCCTGCATGCATCCTGGGAATCTCTCGTCCACAGCTCGCTGGAACTCATCCGGCGACATCCAGTTGCCCAGCTGCCCACGGGCCCCACCAGCTAGAAGGGGCACTGTGTCCCGCTGCGAAGGAGTGACAATCACCGTCTTGCTCTCTACCCGTGCCACATCCTTGGGGTCTGTGCGAGCCAGCCAGCTGGGGGAGACAGGATTGCCAGGAAATGGTGTCTAATAGAGTTAGTTCACTTGTCTTCAGACTCACTTTGTTTTTTGTTTTTTTTTTCTTCCAAGACAGGGTCTCACCATGTAGCTCTACCTGTCCTGGAACTCACTATATAGACCAGGCTAGCCTCGAACTCACAGAGATCTATTTGCCTTTAAGTGCTGGGATTAAAGGCATGTACCACGAAACTCACTTTTTAAGTCCAACTTTGGCTCCAGGTCTGTTTGCCTTATGTTTTCTTAGCCAACTACATTTTAGTTCCTTTAGGCTTTGTCTCGTTAAGAGGTGGTTTCCTCAAGGCCCAGCCTTGGAGCCTCTACCCCTGGTAGAGGTATGTTTCATGAAGTGTTAAATGAAGTGTGTGTGGGGGGAAGGCAGTCGGTCCTTTCACCCCAAAAGCAAGAACTCCCATTTGTAAACTCCTATCAACTTTTTCATTTAAGTGAAAACATTCACTTCCTAGCCCACTTCCCCTCAAGAAGCTCCCATTCTGGTTCATTCCACTGGTATTGTCTAGAAATATCTTTGTCTTGGTGAACCCAAAGAGACCTCAGCCTAAGCAGCAGCCTTTGTTTCAGGGGCAGCTAGTTTCAAGGCTTACCAGTTCTTGTACTTGGGGAGCTTCCGGATGAGACCCTGCTGTTCCAGCAGGGCCAGGGTGGCAGTGTTCTCAGCCTCAGTGCCATCACAGATGTGGATGCCCTCTGGTTGGCACAGACGGGCACTGCGCTCCACAAAGTCCCGAACTCCAGCTGGCAGCTGGCCCAGATCTCCACTGAGCACACGCAGGGTCTGGATGCTACGGCATGGTGACCGGCACCAGGGCCTCAGCCCATGCCAGCTAAGCCTGTAAGAGTCAAAACAGAGAGGCAACCATCCGGTGACTATCATGGGAGACAGGTTTTGGGGAGGGAGAACAGGAAGCTTGGGCTCTGGAAGGCACTAATAAAACATATCTGGTTGCAGGCACCAGGTTACATACGGTTGGTACGTGGAATGAGCTCGGACTACCTGCATCTGTGGCCTTTATGAGGTATGTGTCTCCTGACCAGGAAAGAGGTGGTCAAATAAACAAAAAAGCACACATCTGGCTGGAGAAGTATGCATGCTGATACTGCACGTGTGGCCCATGCTGTTTTACTACGTCTGCTGCAGGATTAGAAAGAAGCAGGTGCCTCGTGGCCCAAGCGTCAAGGAACTGCCCAGATGAGAGCTTCCTGAGGCTATTTTAAAAATCCTCACCAGTGTTCTTTTCAGTCACAGTTTTTGTGTTAAAATGGCAGTTATTTTTATCTTTTTCTTGGTGTAAATGTTTCAACAAAGGGCGTAGTTTTTAGAGCCCTCTTCCAATGCCTGGTTTTCAGATTAGGATTCTTGCATAAAGACAGCTGGTGTTGGGGGTTCAGATAGTGCATTTGTTCACCTGGGTCAACAATGATTGGCTAAGTTTTTGTTATTTTATTTTTGTTTTTTGAGACAAGGTTTCTCTGTGTTAACAGCCCTGGAACTCACTGAGATCCGCCTGCCTCTGCTTCCCAAGTGCTGGGATCAAAGGTGTGCGCCACCGCTGCCCAGCTTAGTTAAATATTTTTTAACTTTAAGTGAAAGGCTGATAAGAATAACGAATGTCACTGCCAGGGGTCCTTGCCTAGATTTTCAGAAGGGCAGGGTCTCAGTATTGTTTGTTCTGTTATGTTCCTGGAAGATAGTAGGGTCTGTTGTGATTGGTCTGGACCCAAGATAGCAAAGGCCAAGAGAGGTAGTTACCCTCCTCACATGCAAGGCCTCACCTGCCAGAAACCCACAGTAGACCATGATGGCTTCAGCCTGTGCCCTCCTTGGCTCGCCTTAGAGGCCGCATGCCTACAGAACTTTAGGGGTTGGTGGTAGGTCAGAACACTCTGAGAGGTCAGGAAACTCAGATCACAGGCTATATGCCTGGGAAGGAAGAAAATGGAGCTCTTGGATGTGGGGGTTTGGGCCTGGGTGGCGTGTTTTCCAGAAGACAAAAAGGGCAGCATGCTTAGTGTGGCCCTAGGGGGTTGGGGGCCCAGCAAAGCAGGGCTCCTTGTACCTTTTTCTGTCCAGGAACGTTTCCCTGAGAGATTAATTTTAAAGGCACAGCCTTGAAAGCTGCTCTCCCGTTGTCTTACATGAAGCACGGCTTCCTCCAGGGCCACCCCCATCCTCCTGCATGCCTCTAAGAGGGACATCTCACTATCCTTCACAGACCACTCCATAAACTGACCAAGTAAAATCTGCATGGGAGAGATAAGGAGTCCGGTTTAGGCTCAGTGTCAAAGACCCTGGAGAAGGGGACACACAGAGGAGAGACCTGCTGGTATGGCAGGAGGGCAACCAGCCAGGGCAAGCTTGGGGTCCAGGACCTGCTAGGGGAAGAAGCCAGCCAAGTTCAAAAGAAGGCAATTTGCCCCCCTTCTCCCATCTTCCTTCCTTCCCTCCCTTCCTCCCCAGTCCCCAGGTCCCTGAGGCTCCACTGGGCTTCATGCCAGGTTCCATTCTCGGGAGGCAGCGAATGATGTTTACCTTCTACCTTCTTTCGGGAGCTTTGAGCTTGGGCTCCCAAAGGCTCAACAAGCCCTTTGGCCTCAGGGCCTTATGGCTCCTCACAGCATTGAGGGATTGCCTGGGAGCCCCAGTCTGAAAGAATTACACCTGGTAAGTAAAGGATTTGCAGAGACAGGGCTCGGGGAGGCAAAGGAGAAGCGGGAGGAGGTTGAGAGTGGCAGACAGAAGACAGCACAAGTGGGGAGGGAGGGGTAGGAGAGCACGGAGGCTGGGAGAGCTCGCGTGGCTGGAGAAAGGGGGTGGGGTGGGGGACGCATCCCCGTGAGACCCAGGCTGGTCAACAGCCGCCCTGCCAGTCTCTTCCTAGGATGAGAAACAAGCGGAGGCAGCTCCGATGGAGGAGCACGGAGTGGGCCCCGGCCTATGGGTCACTCACCGCAGGCTGGGGAGGTACATAGCTGCCATGGCACCTGGGCTGGCGCTGCGGGGTGGCCACAGGAACCAGCGCAGTCGGGGGAGACAAGGAGCGTGGAAGGCGGGGAAGGAAGGAGCGTGGCAAAGCAGGAGGGAGCTGAGGTTGGGCGGGAGGCGCTTAAAAAGGAGGCGGGCAGGCGCCGGGGCGGAACCTAGCTGGTTCTCTCGCCCATCTGTGGGCCCGCTCACTGGCCAGGGCTCCGGGCACCAGCTCTGTGAAGCTTCCGCCCTACAGTCATCATTCCCGCAAGCCTGCTCTTCCCATTGGAGGCTTGAGTTCACCTTGGACCCGCCCACTCCGAGGCTCCGCCCCACGACCCGCCACGCTGCAGGGCTACTGATGTAACTTTGAAGGCTGTTGCTCCTTAGAGATAGCAACCAAAACACATCGAATGTCAAACAAGCTAAGAATGAGGGATGAGACCAGGAGTGGGAGCCCAGAATAGCCAGATGTCTAAAACCTCGGGGACTGGCTTTACCTTTCCAGAGCACGCCTAGCCTTAGGCCTTTCTTTTTTTTTTTTTTTTTTTGGTTTTTCGAGACAGGGTTTCTCTGTGTAGCTTTGCGCCTGTCCTGGAACTCACTTGGTAGCCCAGGCTGGCCTCGAACTCACAGAGATCCGCCTGGCTCTGCCTCCCGAGTGCTGGGATTAAAGGCGTGCGCCACCACCGCCCGGCGCCTTAGGCCTTTCTTTTGCAGGGGCCCAAAGCTAAGTTTTCCTTAGTCCTCAAATAAAAAACGAAAACAAACAACTGTTGTCCTTGTCTTTCTCCTCCTTCTCCTTCTCCTCCTCCTCCTCCTCCTCCTCCTCCTCCTCCTCCTCCTCCTCCTCCTCCTCCTCCTTCTCCTTCTTCTTCTTTCGAGACAGGGTTTCTCTGTGTAGCTTTGGAGTCTGTCCTGGATCTTGCTCTGTAGACCAGGGTGACCAGGGTGACCTCGAACTCACAGAGATCCACCTGGTTCCGCCTCCCGAGTGCTGGGATTAATGGCGTGCACCACCACCGCCCAGCTTGTCTTGCTTTTTATCAAGGGAGTTTTCTCTAGCACCATGGGTGGGATCTTTCAGGTCCAGGGACATTTCTTTGGTCCTCCCCTCCCCCAATCCTAAGAAACATATCTGCCCTCATCTTGCCACTATCATAAAGTCCTTGAGTAATTTCTTAACTTGACATTCCATCTTGAGACCCTGGGTATCTACAATCCAAATGCTGAAGCACTTGAAACTCAACACATCTAAGGTGAACATCTGCACAGAATCCCCCCTCTTTCTGGTAACAGCACTTTGACTCTCCTTTGGCGACCCATCAGGTCACGTGGGTCTGCCCTTGATTCTCTTAGGGCCAATGGATGTGGCCCACCCTCCGACCAGAGCAGTCCGGATGCTCAGAGATGGGGACCTGAGATCCCTGTCAGACTTTTTCTGTAAACTTTGGAAATGAGGTCATTTTCTGCTGGATTGCTGAGTTGGGAGAATATAAACTGGGTTCTATGGGATGTCAGCTGGTACTGCAAAGCCTGCCTGAGACAGAAGCAGGGACGAGAGATAAAGATCAGTAGATTTTCCCTAACCCCACAGTGGACTTTACTGAGATATCTTAAAGGCTGCTGCTTCTTTAAAAAAAAAAATTATTTACTTATTTTTATGTACATTTGGGTTTTGCATGTATGTCTGTGGGAGGATGCCAGGTCCCCTGGAAAACTGGAGTTACAGACAGTTGTGAGCTGTCATGTGGGTGCTGAGAATTGAACCTGGATCCTTTGGAAGAGCAGCCAGTGCTCTTAACTGCTGAGCCATCTCTCCAGCCCTGTTAAATCCTTCTTAAGTCCCCACTTCTTCTGAGGTTCTGGGTTGGAAACTGAGGGGAGATGCTCCGTGGGCAGGGGACTGAGTTGAGGCAGGGTCTCCTTAGCAGCTGAAGGGTTCTCTCTTCCTATCCTGTTCATGCTGGGGCAGGTGGTCCAGAGTTTCTTACTCCTTAGAGGCCATGTGGACCATGAGGTCCACCACTCTGTTGCTGTAGCCAAATTCCTTGTCATACCTGGACATGACCTTGACAGAGTGGTTGTTGAGAACAATGCTGGGCCCACTATCAAAGATAGACCGGATGTTGCTGTTAAGAGTCTCAGGAAACAGCCTTGTCCCCAGATAAGCCCAGGATGCCCTTTAGGGGGCCCTCCAATGCCTGCTTTACCACCTTCTTATTTCTTATCTATCTATCTATCTATCTATCTATCTATCTATCTATCTATCTAAATATCTATCTATCTATCTATTTATTCTTGAGTCAGGGTCTCTCCATGTAGTCCTGGAACTCACTATGTAGACCAAGCTAGCCTTGAGTGCATGGAGATTCAACTGCTTCTGCCTCCCTAGTGCTGGGATTAGCTTTTTTTAAAAAAATTTTTATTTTATTTATTTATTTTTTTTATTTTTTGAGACAGGGTTTCTCTGTTTAGCTTTGTGCCTTTCCTGGAACTCACACTGTAGCCCAGGCTGGCTTCAAACTCAGAGATCCTCCTGCCTCTGCCTGCCGAGTGCTGGGATTAAAGGCGTGCGCCACCACCACTTGGCCACCACCTTCTTGGTGTCTCCTAAATGGCAGTTTTCTCCAGGCAGCATGTCAGATCCAGGACACACAGGGGGAGTAGGAACACAGAGGGCATGTTAATGAGCTCCCTGTTTAACTCTGGGATGATCTTTGTCCACAGCTTTGGCAGCATCAGAAATGCAGGAATGATGTTTTGGGCAGCCTCATGGCCATTACACCATGATTTCCCAGGGGTGAGGGGCAGCCAAGGTCTTCTGGGTGACAGTCACAGCATAGACTGTGGTTCTAAGTCCCTTGATGACGCTGAACTGTTTCCATGGATGACCTTGGCTTGGGGCTGGAGGTTGCCGAGCAGTCTGTGGTACTTGAGGCATTGCTGATAAACTTGAGTTGTGTCTCTCATGGTTCACACCCATCCCAAGAGGTGTTACCATAAAGGGCAGAGATGATGACCCTCGTGGCTCCATCCTTCAAGTGGGCCACACCCTTCTTCCTGACGGTGAAGACACCAGTAGACCCCACCACATACTTGGCGCCAGCATCTACCCATTTGATGTTGGCAGGATCTAACTCCTGCAAGATTAAAGACAAATTTCCCATTCTCATCCTGGATGGGACCATGGAACTTGCCATGGGTATAATCATATAAACTGTGGGACATGTAGACCACACAGTTGAGGTCAATGAAGGCGTCACTGATGTCAACAATACCTACTCTGGTAGAGTTGAAGGCAGTCTTGGTGACTAGGCACCTAGTACAGCCAAATCCATTCTTTCTAACCTTTACTATTACATCTCAGGCATTAGGCTAGCACTTCATGGAGGAGATGTGGCTGTTTCTAGGTGGAGCAGAAAGCCGATGTTCTTGTGACAAGAATGAATACATTTGTTCTCTAACTTAAGCTAATTTTAAGTGGATTCCGCCACTTTCAGTAAAAATAATCTTGATTTTTTTTTTTGACTCCTCAGAGTTTTGTGCTGGAGTATAGTGACCTCGAATGGTGGTCTGTAGCTGGTCCTCAGTGCTTCCCATTCAGACTTGAATCTGCATTTAATTTCATGTATGTAGACTTTTACCACTCCCACCCCCATGCTCTGCCCCATAATCCCGGCACTAAAACTCTGTTCATGGTCACCTTGCCACCACCAACTTACTCCTTGACTGCATTTTAGGCCTCAGGCTGTTCACAGTGGCATCAGCTTGGTTGACTTTCTGAAGGTCATCATCTTGTTCACAAGCTCTCCAGCTCCCATGGTTCTCTGTCTCAGCAAATGGTACCATCATCTAGCAAGTTGCCCCAGAGAGTTCCTGAATTAGACTACAGTATTTTTTTTCTAATCTTCCATAGCTAACTAGACACCAGGACCTGTAGAATTGTTCTGCCCAATTCGCTCTTAAATCTGTCCATACCACCCTTGATACAGGGCTCCCCTTTCACCTGGCTTTATGTGGCAGCTCCCAAGGCACTTCCTGGCACTGTGCTTTTCAATGCCCCATGTGTCTTTTGTGTGTATAGAATCACTTTGGAGAGTTAAGAGAAAGGATTGATCTTCATGACGTGATAGTAGGTGCTAGCTAGGTTCTGGCTCTGCCTGCAAGTCTCATTCAGTCCACAATCACTTTATCTTGTGGATGTAGACACTGAAGCTTAAGTCATTTGCTCAAAGTCACATATCTGATTGGCAGGAGAAATGGAATTTGGTTCCAGGTCTTTCTGACTCTAATTGCCAAGATTTTTTCTTCCCTGCATTCCTATAATATACTATTTTCTAGGTTTATTGTTAGCTAGACCCTATCTCAAAAGACAAATGGGAAAAGATGACTCCTAAGAATCTTAGCCTAGGCTTAGGCCTCCAATTCCTAATCTGGCCTCTAGCTGTCGGGAGTTATCACCTCCACCTCCCTTCTTGCCTAACCTTTCTCTGTTTTGTAGAAAGAAAAATCTAAATAAAACGAGTCTCGATTTTATCTGTCCCCTACCAGTGTCCTCCTATGAAAATCAGCTGGTGAATGACTGAGTGAAAGAATGAATGATCCCTCACTCTTTTTTTATTTTGGGGATGGTTTCTCACTATATGGCCCCGGCTGGCCCAGGTTTGCTGTGTAGAACCGGCTAGCCTTGCCTC